CAAGTGGCACAAGCGCCACAACCGGCTCTTCCTCCTCCTCCAACGCATCTCCCAACGCCTCTTCTTCAGCAGCCGCCAGGATCTCTTGATTATATGTTTCCGAACACTGGCGGTACGTTCTTTCCCAAGAGGCAAAGTCGGCATTGGGGAACAGGCGGCCCCAGGTCATGCGCTGGATTTGAGCGGAGTCTTCCATCATCTCCCGGACGAGCTCTTTCTTCTCTTGCTCGGCCTTTTCCGAGAGCTCTTGGGTAAGACTCTTCTCTTGGCTCACCAGGCGTTCTTTTACGTTGGCCAAGGATTTCTCCATGGCTTCGTAAGAGTACATTTTTTGGCGAAGAGGTTTCAGCTCGGCCTTAAGATTTGTGATGGTCGCCTCCAGCTCGTCATTCTTCTTCTGGGCCGCCTCTAACTGAGCCCGAACAGCGGCGGTAGCCTGCGCCTGATAATAAAGAATATCAATGGTCAGTACTTCATTTTGGGCAATTTGAAACATTGCCTTATCACAGTTAGAGGCGGCCATAGCTTTTGCAGCCTTTACCTCTTTGTTTTTCCGATCAAGCGGCTTGCGAAGGCTGTTAACTCGGAGCAGGGCCTAAGTACAAAAAAAAACAGGCGTCAGTTTCCAAACAAAAAAGATAACAGGCGTCCTGGAATTCAAATACTCAAACAGTATACCTCAGCAAGGACCCCTGCAATCCCATCAAGGTCAAGGGTGCCGGCACCCCTGACCGCCTCCCTTTCAGATGGAGGAACTACTTTGATCATGGACTTGGCTACCTCAACCAAGTCAAGCCCCTGAGGGCCGGCTGCATCAAGCGTAAAAAAGCAAGTTAGACCTAGTCAAGAAGGAAGCAAGTGTAAAAGTTTTTACAAGTAATTGTCCATACTTCTAGGCGGCCCCGCCGGGGTTTTAGAAGAAGTGGTCGGCTGCTTCTCAGCCGCCACTGTTTTCCTGGAAGACCTAGGAGAGCTTGCAACAGTCGTCCTCCGGGCCTTGGGGTCCGGCTGTTGCGAGGAAGAAGCTCTTGGAGTGCCCGACTGAAAATAAAAAGAGTTAGTATATGCATAAGACAACTCCTAAAAGAGGAAGAGTTTTCGAAGCCTACCAAGGGTGCCCCCTTGTTGGGGGAGTCGGTACAAGACTGTTGCATGAGAGAGGCCCGCAACATGGCCGCCGCAGTCTTGGATGCTGTTATTTTACTCATGGCGTCAGCTGCAAAAAATAAACAGCAAAGTTAGTAAAGATCCCAAGTAAACAAGGCGTGAAAAAACAGAGTATTTGTCAGGCCGGCTACCTCTAGAGCACCGACTGCTGAGACCACAGGCGTCCAAAAAGTACTCGTCATAGAGCCACTTGAAGCTCGGGACGCAGTTTAGGGGTACTTGCTCTCGTACCCCTGAAGTAGAGTTCACCCTAGTCTCTACTTTGAAGAGTCCTTTGTCTAGGATCTCTTTTTTAGCCTTTGGGGGAACAGGCGGCATGCTGCGACCGCCTGCGAGAAGAGGCGGATCCCTATTCCACTTGTTAAAGCGTTTGTTCAGCTCCGTGTCTGAACCCTCGGTGATAAGGAAGGTGTTCCGCCAATCCTTCCATTTGTTCGCCTTACCTCTCGTCATGAGGTAGCCCCTATGGCTTGTTAATTGATACCAGCCGGTACCTCCCGACTTAGGGGTCCGGCTGAGATAGTTCATGTGGGCGAAAGCCTCAAAGCTTGGCTCCACCCCGTACATTTCGCACCCGGCCACATAGCCGAGTACGTTTACCCAAGAGTTGGGGGCTAACTGCCATAACCCCAAATCATACCCATCTAAAATCCGCTGAACAGCCGGATGTAATGGGAAGCGCAGTCCAGCTTTGATGGCCGCCACATAGCAGCCAAAGCAGCCGTCATCATAGCTGGTACCAGCCGGCCAGACGACAGTGTCTTCTGGATCTGGCACGAACAGTAAAAATTCGGGGCCCATTCTGTGGTTAGCTATAAAGCTCTCCACTTTGTCTTGCATGGTTGCGATCCGGCCCCGGGGTACCGTGTAGTAGTAAGGGGTGTTTTCCTCTCTGTAAGAGGCGGACGGCTCCGCCCAATTGTCCCCCTTCTCAACTGCATGAGAAAGCCTCGCCTCTTGTAGGCGGCTGTTTCTTTCTTCTGAGCCTTGAGAAGCGTGGCCAGAAGAGCTGGACTCAGACTCGTCCTCTGACGAGTCCGAAGAGGACGACTCCTCCCCTCTCCCAGAGGGGCCCGCCTCCTCTCCCTTAGAAGGAGCAGAAGGAAAATTAGACATATCAATGGTGAAATGGGAAGGGACCACCTTGACCCCTCCCTCAGAACTGCCGGCTGTCAAGCCGCTTTGCTTCACTTCTACATCTGGCGCCTGGTCAGATGTTTCACTAATGAGCACCCTTTGGGAGGAGCCGTCTGAGTTTGAGATCATAGCAGTCTTTTTCGTTCTGGCCATCACGTTCTGCATAGACACAGATACAGTCGGACTTTGTATAAAGGGCAAAGATGGGTCCAGAAAAGGGCAGGCGACACTCCTAGTCCTAGATTCAGCCGTCCCCGGTGACCGGCTGATCACTAACTTAGGTCGTGTCGTGTGCTTCCGTGGTGCCATTTCAAAAAATAAAAAGAAAATTAAGAGTAAGAGAACTGAGTTACCTGAACGAGTGACGGTTGATGAAGTTCTGGAAATCCGGTGCAGTCGGCTTGTCAGAACAGGCGGTAGGCAGAAAAGGTCTGAAATGTCAGAGCAAGTTCAGGGGTCCGAATGTTCTCGCAAAGTTCTCAAATGTGAAAATGACCGAAGTCAGCACTTCCTTATATAGGCAAAGTGAGAAGGCGAAGGGTCGCTTCCAAATTCAAAATTTGGGCGGGAAAATCTCTCGGCCATTTGCAAGGTGACACCTGTAGCAGGCCGTCGCCTGTCACCGTGTGGCACCTGTCACAGGTGACACGTGACCAGTCACGTGCCACCTGTGAGGGGCAAATGATTAGGGGATTTTTATCCACCAATCACCGTCTGACAAGTGGACCAACCAGGTTCCGCCACGTGTCCTTCACGTAGGCCAATAGGAGCCTGCCACGTGTCAATCACAGATACGTCCTCTACGGACCAATTGAGACATGCCACGTGTCCACCCATGCCAAATGGGAAAACCGGCCAACAAGGCCCAATCCTGTTTAGAGGCCCGGTCAGCCCTAGGTTTACCCTAAACCTAGAGAGTGGCACGCTTCTCAAGACTATAAATACTTAATTAATCCTCATTAAAGGGGAGGAAGCAATGAATCTCACTTGAAGAACAGAGAAGAACAGAAACATTACGGAACACACTAATAACCGGCTAATCTCGCTAACAAAGCAGATTACCTACATTAAACACTCTCACCTAGAGAGATCTTATTACTTTAATTTCCGTATTAATTACTCCTTAATCAGGTACTAACTTGACCGTTGGAGGCGGAGCTCTCAGGAGTCTCCGTTATTTTGCAGGTACAGGCGTCCGGTTCCAGTCTCGGAATTGTAACTCTCCCGCAGGACATCAGAAAACCCCGAAACAGAAGGAGTACATTTTATTATCATGTTGTTTATTAATATTCCGAATGTTCTTTATATATATATATATATATAGAACATAAAGTTGATTTTTTTTTTTAACAAAATAGCTATATGTTCTTTACAAAACAACTATATTTCATTACAAAACAATTATATGTGATGTTCTTTATAAAATAGCTACATGTTCTTTACAAAACAACTATATGTTCTTCACTGAATAACTAAATGTCCATTTCGCCTTTTAAAAAAAATAAAAAATAAATAAAAAAAGATGCACGGAGCATTGTACATCCGCCTCTAGGGAGAAAATTCAGAAAATTACATTGAGAGATAAGTAAGGAAATACCAATAAATAATTATTGGTGTGATATGTAACTGAAAACATAATTAAAGAAATAAAAAAAAATTTGGGACTTCAATTCAAAATGAGGCTTGATAGAAAGGTGGAGGGATTAAAATTCAAGAGAAAAAATAAAAAGGTTGAATTGAAGAGGCTAGGCGAGATGAACGTGAAGTGTTTAATGAAAGAGTTAAGAAAAATAGTGAAATTAAAAAATAAGACGACATGTGACATATTGGATTAGGAAAAAAAAAATAGAGAAGTGTAATAGAATGAATGTGTTTTTTTATTTGAGTTTTTAAATACTAAGTATAGTCGTATAGATAATCTTTGGTTTAACAGGCCTTTTTTTTAAAAAAAAATGTTGATTTGTGTAGGTGTATCTCGTGTTGTAAAAACATGTAATGGTTTTGTTATCAAAAGCCTTATTTTCCTGTTTTGTAACGATTTAAAAGCTTAGTTCTTTAGTGGTTAGTTACTTTTTTGTTGTAATTTGTAATACTCTCTGTAAATCTACCAGGTGCCACACCAAAAGTAAAGAAATGTGAAGGGCCTCTGACTAATCATGAATTCATGAGGTATACTGGTTTTGTGTCCCAATTGATGTGCTTTTACAACGATTTGCTATATTGCATCGAAAATTTTTAACAAAATTATATTTCAATTTATACATCTGAAATATTGGTATTTTATTGAAAATAAAACTTTAAACTAACAATTTTATCCTAAAATTATATCCAAATAGAATTTTAAATTAACTTTTTAATCGTTTATTTAAATTTATCCATCGTGGCGCGACACTTGGCAAAAAGTTAAAACGCCAAGTGTATATATATATAAGTGATATATATATAAAGCTTAGCAAAATTCACACTAAAAGTTTAGCTTTATATATATATCACAGAAAAAAGAGGAATGAGTAAATGGTAAAGCTAAGAAGATAATTTGCTTGGAAACCTAGCCTTTGCATTTACAAATTATAAGCAACCACAAAGTTATCAACAACTCTGCACGTAATCCCCGAATCTCAGATTTCTAAGCAAAAATAATTCACATCACTGTCAAATTGTCAAATGCTCATGTAGGAAGATAACTACACATACTATTAATAAAAATAAAACAACAAAACAGAGTTTTTGATATTATTTATGAAGTAAAAGTATTTACAACTGATGAATCAAATTAACCACAATATCCAAATGTATTTACAAAGGCGGTCGAAACAAAGAATTTACAAAGAATTCACACTAGCAGTAATTCAGGGCTTTTTTTTTTTTCTTTTTTTTCTTTTTTATAAGCCAAACTTCCCCTTGTTTTTTTGTATTTTTTTCCTATTATTGATGTTTTTTCCTTTTAAAAAAACATTTAAGATCTTATTAACAAATCTACATGATAAGAAAAAATAAATACGAGTAAACGGTTTGATGTATAAGCCGTTGTATTTCAACTTACTGTCAATCCCATCATAGTTAGTAGAACAGTATCAAAGAAGTTGAAATACATCAACTGATAAAAACCCCATTTTAACGATCATTTAATTCACAAACTAAACAGCAGCAGAAAGAGCATGGCAGGGAGCAATATGGCTAGTTCAGTTATGCTGTAGAGAAGAAAGCCACCGTTCCATGTACTTTTCGCCATCTGCGAACAATAAAAAAAAATGCAGAACAAGATCAGAAAAAATTCCTCACATCCTAAATTGGTTATGGACTTGTGGACAACCCAAAATCTGTAGCACATATGCATTCTGAACACGCACACACATAATCACTTTGATACGTAATCACCTTGATACAAACCTACTAAAGCAAAGACGTACACAACATCTACATAGATTGATAGATTAGGAAGACAATCTATCTGCACAATACCCTAAAATAATAAAATAGTATTCCGTAGAATAGTTGCAAAGAATGTAACATTAGCGATAAATATTCAATTGCTACTTGCCTAGTATTTCGGCAGGAATAATAGTAATTAGTATTACATTATCAAAATACACCTACATCCAACACAATAACAATTTGACTTGATATTCAACCCCCTCCCCCTTCTTTTAAAAAAAGAAAGAAAAAAAAAAAAAAACACACACACACACACACACTTACTTGATGATCAAATGCAAAATTCACGTTCTTCAAAAACATGCTTTCGACTAGTTCCTCCAGCATTCTGTTTGAGTTAAAATATATCTCCCCCAGTCACTTACAATGTATATAAACATGTCTAGGTGCTGAGGTGCAAGGTGATAGTGGTCACTGTTCCCCCCAAATATTCTGTACCAGTGAACTGAACTTGAGTTCATCACTACATCAGTTCATCCTATATGGCTAAATTTTACTGTACACGCTCTACCGATAGCGAACTGATTTGAATCAAATCAGGAGAGTGGAACTAACTGAAACTGCCCACCTTAATTAGTCTGTAATTTACTTAGATAAATAGGTTCACTTGCTAGCGACTAAACAGACAAGAGCTCTACTACCCAACGATAGCAGCTACTAGAGAAGAAAAAAAAAAAGACACAAGAAAGGTGTGAAAAGGCAAAAGCAGATAAGCCGATGGCTATAGCCTGTAAATGCCCTCAAAAAAAGCGATTGACTTGACAACGGAGTTGAATCTTCAAGTCCATTTTTTTTGGTTCTAGGCAAGCCAATTTCAAAGAGATGCAGGCCAAGGCGCAAAAATTTTCATTTTTCACAAAAATCTTTACTGCAACAAACTTAAATGAGGCACACTAGAAGGATACCCATCGACTCAATACACCTTGAGCCATTTCATATATTGCTCCCAGCAACCAAATTTAATCTAAAAGATGTGCATCTTTTCATCCCATAGGACAATCATATAATCATGGAAACTTACCGAGAATCTTAATAATGAATTTTTTTTAAGGAAAAAAAAAAGCGTATTGCCGGATTCCATGAGAAAAATGAGGCATCGACTTTTTTTACCCCTATTTTCACACATGGATGATATTCTCCTTTTGTGTACTTTCCCTCACACGCATTTTGATTAACTTTTGTGTTACCTTTCGTACAGCAAATCCTCACCCCCACAACGATTCTCTTCTTCCTTCCTCAAATTTTTCTATCACCGCCGACATGAATTATGATAAGAAGAATAATAAAGGGGGAAAGAGAGAGTAAAGAGGAGGGGGCTGAGGAGGAAAGAAGAAGGAGGTCTTCCATGACTGGCGCAAGAAGAAGAGGAAAGAGTATAGCTTTATACAAGAAGAGTGTGTTACTCGAGCACATGGAGAGGGAAAAAGAGACCAGAAAGTTAAAAAGTCCACCAGAAAAGACAATACAAGCCACAAGGTGTTGCTTTTAAAAGAGAGAAATTTAAAGATTCTAAGTGACAAAAGAAAAAAGTTCAACTAGTTGAAAAAAAATAAAGTGTAAAACAAGTTAATTTCGGACACAATGTCCTAAATTTTACCAATTTTCCAGATACTAAAAGTCCGAGCTTCCACTGCCAGTTGGAATATCTCCCATGCAACGGAAAGATGACTAATAAACCATCAAGTGTACATAAGCCAAGGAGCACAGCACAAAACATCTATCATGGATAAACAAAAGATAAGTTCTAAACCATGTGGTTTTTCTTCAACATTAATATCACTCGAAAATTCACTCAAAAACGCCATAATGTCTACTATTTTCTGAGTTTCAAACCCAAGCGGTTCAATCAGCTAGGACTTTAGCACTATAAACTGGAGCAACATCAAACCAATTAAGATGTCACTATTAAAATGTTCAGACTAATTGCATGACTTTCTAAACCAAATCTAGTAACTTCTAAGAGCTATACTAAGTGGTGTGATATTAAACCAAATCTAGAGTTCTAGACACTTCTAAGAGCAGTATTATGTGGTGTGATATTAACCCAAGATATTGTCGTTCAATCTTAGTCATCCATTACTACCATCAGTCAGTCTTTTCTATTGGCCATTTTCCTCCAAACCAAACTATGTTCATCCACATCAGCCACTATCACATATCTAACTGAAGCCCAGAATTCCCATCCCACCCATATAAATCTGCCACTCTTCCTCTGGAGCTAGAAACCAAAAACAAATTCCAAAATCCCAAACATTCTCCGGGGGAACATGCCTACACCAACCACTAATTGATAATTGTTGGCTCATGACAGAGGGTTATAGGTGTGTTTTGTTAACCTAATTACGAACTTATTAAGGCTAATTGTACTATAGTAGTAGTGAGCTAGTCGGAACTTCACCTAACTTGTTGGAACTTATGTGAGGTTAAATTTCTTAAACAGTAATATTTAATATAAAAGAACACACTCTAGTTGTATTTTTATAAGTGTTAGGCTGCCAACTTGTTATCAACATTAACAGCTTAACTACCATTGTAGGATCCTAAAAGTATGTATACAAACTAGATTTCACAGAAGAGCAAGAGGGTAAAATCTAGCTGACTACTATCCTCTAAAGTCTAAAGTTGTTAAACCACAAGCTTGTTGACCAAAAGAAAGTAATGCTCACTCCTATTGTAGAATAGCATATCAAAAAGGGTAATCAAGTAGTTTTGTGCCAAAGATTAAGGCATACAATGCAGGCTAACAGGAGAAAACAGCTAAGAGCCTAGAAGAGGGCAGATGACTAACCATGCTCCAAGCTTTTTTGGGCAACTATGTAAGCACTTCATTCTTGAAAACCAAAGTCTAGAGAGGAGGGATAAAAAGAGCAGTGCAATTTCTATCCCCTCATATCAAGGTACAAATAAGACCAACATGAACCGTTCAATACCTGAAAATCAAAGGTATCCTCAATTTCTAAAGGGTGATGGTTTCAGACAATAACAACCATTTCTTGTCAATTTTTCATTTCAATGTGACTGGAGAACTTAGAGAATCTCACAACAATTCTTAACAGGCAAAAAGTAAATACTATAACAATCAGAATGAGTACAATAATCAAGGACAAACATATTTTGTCGAATGAGCAATTCTAGCTTTAAGTTCAGCAACAGTTCAAGCTTATAAAGTACAAGATTGCATAAACGAATAAAACATGATTGATGATTTAAAAAGATAAACAAGCAACACAAATGAAATCTAAGGAGTAATACTATCCACTTCCAAAAGAAATAAAAAGCAGTTTCTGAAACCAAATCAAGAACTTACCAGCAGAATAAAGCTCTGGTACATTGGCATTATTGACCACACTGTTTTTCCTACGGTCTTGGTTCCCTCCAGAGCCACGCCCGTAGCACCGGACAAGAACACCAAATCCCCCATCAATTTCATCCTCACTCAAGAACCCCGAGGCATGTGGCTCAGACCATCCTATCGACCAATCTGAAGCATCCGATTCATTATCAGACGTACCACCTCCATCTGAAGGCACAAGAACAACATCATGCTCCTTATCAACCTTCCCACCCTCTTGAGCCCGCCCTTTTCGCCTACCCCTCCTCGAGTTAGAACCTAAATTAGCCCCCGTCCCACTAATAGCAGGGAACTTCAGCACATCTACATTCAATTCGGTCGACGAATCTAGAGAAGACCCTTTCTTCAATTTAGCATCTTTTTTTTTACCACTCCACAACCACCAAGATAGGTTGGGAAATGTCAGAGACATAAATCAATCAGATAATCTTGCCTCCTCCTTATTTCCCCCCTAATTTTAATTTTGCAAAATCAACTACTCTTTTACAGATTAATTCCCACAATTTTGTAAACTGCAATTAAAAACAATTTAAACCCATAATCAGACGATAATTAACTAAGCTAATGACAATTGAATCCACATCAAGCAATATAAACAGCAATTATACTAATATCAACTAAATCAAGAATTCGCTTAAAACCAACTAAACATCCATGATTACTTAAAAATTCAACTGTAATTCCAAAATTAGAACTTTCCATTATCAGATTACAATTACAACAAAAACAAGAACAGAAATCAACACCTCAATAATCTCTGATATAATAAAAAAGATAAACAAAAACCCAGAAATTATTTAATAAAAAAACTAAGAAAAATTGAAAAATTCAACGAGAAATTTGAGAAGAGAAAGAAGCAATTAAATAGGGTACCTTGGAAATCGTAAATAAAGTTGAAGGAAGGAAGGAAGAAATTTGATTTAGGGTGAAAAAATCAGAAATCTTGTCTTAGACGCCAGTATAACTCCAAAAAGGAGGCGAATAGAAGAATTACGCCATTATTTAAGGAGGAAGAAGAAGAAAGGAGGAAGTTGTGTCAAAGGAGGAAAGCTTAGGTGGTAACTTGGTTCATTGAATTTATCCTATTCATTATAATTATAACTGGATATTTTTTTATTTTGTACTTTTATTCTTTTCCGTACTTTTTTCCCTATTTTATGCAGTAATTTTTTTATAAATTAATTATAGTATAAGGCTATAAGCTGCAATTTTTATTTTTTATTTATAAAATTAATTTCAGTTTTTTTTACGAAAAAAAATAAATTTAATTTAGCAAATATAATTTCAGTTTTGTAAAAATCAGTAAATTACAAGAAGGAATATAATTTTAAAAAAAAATTAGCATAAATAATTTCATTTAAAAAAAATTTCACTTCAGTAAAATTAATTTCAGTTAAATAAAATTAATTTCAATTAAGCAAAAAGAATTTTAGTTTAGTAAAAATAATCCAGTTCAACAAAAAAAAAAGGTGAAGTGAACCGTTTTTTGTGATTGTTTACCGCATTGTATCATGTCGTACAAGAGCAATTAATAGAGTGCGTCACTTTCCTCTTTTTTTCCCTCTAACAGCTTAATCATCTACCAAGATCTTTACCTTCTCTCTCCTCGTGACTTTACTCTTAGGGCCTCTGATTTACTGAACTGAGTTGCTAAAGTGAATTGATTGGAGCTGAAGTGATCTGAAATTAAGCTGAAGAGAACAGACTCATAAATTAATAGTTTAGAATTATAAACGTTGACAAATATTCTCTAAAAAGGTGGGTGTACGTTAATTAATTGTTAAACGGATTAAATTTATTTTAAAAGTATTTAGTTACCCTTTATACTACAAAAGTTTTTATTTTTCCATAATAAATTTTATCTTTCAAAAAATTTATAATGTATTAGATTAATCATATAAGCCTTTAAAGTATGTAATCATAAATCTATAAGAAACAATTGGTACTCTAGTGCAGCCAAGATGGTTGAAACAAGGCCCAAAAGCCCAACACAAACGCGTGCTAGAACAAAACGGCCCACCCGACCATACTTACCTCAATCTTTCGGTAAAAAAGAAAACAAAATAAACCGTCATTTGTTTATTGTAAACCGCATTGATTCAAACTTCTCCTCCCAAAATTCATTTACTTCCCAACATCAATTTATTTTCTCTCTCCATTCTCTAGTCTTCTCTCTCCTTTCTCTAGTTTTCTTTCTCTAAAAATTTGCAAACTCCATGAAAAGCAAGGTTTAACCCAAATATCCGAAAAAAGGGTAAGTTGTTATGAAGATTAGCATAATTTATGTTAAATTTCATAATAGTCCGAAAATTTTTATGTTGAATTTATGTTGAATTGTTTAGCGATTTATATTAATTGTCCAAAAAAATTTCAAATATTTACTTAGTTTTTTAATTTATGAAAAAATTACTTCATCTAAGTTAAATATCAGTGATATTATGTGAATATTGTTTACATTTTTTAGAATTTACATTTTTAAGTTAATTTTGGTTATTTTTGGAGAAAATTGAAAAGAATTTGTTGGTTTTTTAATTTTATTCTGTAGAAAAAAAAAGATACTAGTAGTAGTTCAGATGACGAAGATCATGCGTAAGTATTGAAAATCATTGTTATAAATTAATAATTCATTGTTATATTGTTGATTATATGAATTTTGATTTTTCACTAAAAACCCTAAATTAATTTAACAGCAATCTTTCTCAATTGTTTGGAAAGAAAAACAAGAAAGGTGTTAAAGTTCGATTGTAGATGAAAATATCTTGAAGGATTTGGAAAAAGAAGTTGAAACTAAGGATGAAAGAAGTACAAATGACAAGTATGTTCGTTTTGTTACTGAAAAAAAATTCATATTTATTGTACTTATGTTCATTTTAATTATTATTATACTCACTTTATACGGTAGAAATATGATTATTGTACATTATAATTTATGACAAAGACAATGAAAAATGTTCAAAGCCTTCTGAACAAACAAAAGAAATTCTAAACAACAAAGTTTCGGAACTTGTAACACAAATATTGTAGAACTTTCAGACCCCCTCAGTGACAAAGGGTATGCAATTTCCACAATTTTTGTTAAAATTCATTTTGGTTCACTTCATGTTCGTTTACATAGTTTTTTTCTTTTTTTTTTTTGATATAAATTTTAGTAATTTTGTGTTCCAATTTATATATACAGAAATTTCTAAAAAAGAACGAGGTGTTGGTCAGCCTACTAAGAGCACCCTTAACCATGAATAGAAGAAATTATTTGAGTTACTATTTACATAAAATAATGTTAAAAAATTTAAAGATTTATGAACAGTGCAATGAACAAATACAAATGGTTTGGAAAAGCAAACCGTTCGTCAAAAATTATTTGTCTGACAAAGAGTTACTTTTGCTAATATTTTACTCAAAAAAGGCACGTGAATCTAGTAGAAATTAAAAAAAAAAACAAAACAAAAAGGGGAATTTGTGAGATTGTGCCACTTGTAACTAGCATGAGTGTATGAATTGGTTATTAACGTTACAAAAAATAGTAATGTTACAATTTTTGTAACGTTAATAACTTTTAACATGAATTTTTTTTTTTTTAAAAAAATTACCAACGATCATATTTTTTCATTCTCTATAAATAGACACCCACATTGATATAGTTTCGACAACCTCCAAAACTACCTCTTTTTAAACCATAGTTTGTATCTTAATTTGATTTCTTCACAAAACTAGCCAAAAAATTACAAATTATGGATCTAAACATTCCTAATTATGCTTTTAGTAATCCAAAACCTCAAACAAAGCGTAAATCCAAAAAAAAATCCACAACAAAATCCACCAAATTATAGAATACTCAAGAAAATTGGGCTTAAACCCCCCCTAATCACCCACAAAATTCTCCACAAGTAATCCCTCGAAGTTTCACCATGAATTTTGAGGGAAATTGTCAAAATTACCCACCAAGCTTCAACTACGCTCAACCTAGTCAATCAAACTTCTCAACTGAATCAATTAACCAACAAAATTATGGTGAATATGGTTCAGGAAGTGGTTATTCTCATCAGTCAACATCCGGAGGAGGCGGGAGCACAGACGAAAATTATGCACTTGATGACGATGAAGAAGACGATGATGAGGAGGAGGAATTGGATGTTCCATGCACCCAAATGAACTACACCGAACTCCTAACACAGCCAACCTTCCAATCTGTACCTCATCCCACTCCTAAACCCACTGAAGAGCCTGATAAAAAAAATTTGGGATGAAGTAGAGACAACTGCTTTAATCTCTACGTACATGAACACAACCAACGATCAAATTACCGGAACAAATCAAAGATCAAATGTATTTTGGCAAAGGGTTCTAGCGTCCTACGAAGATGCAAGAAAAGCAAACCCGGAGGAGATCGCCATCAGAACCGTTGGTACTCTGAAGGGACGGTGGTTAAGAATTGCTCCGGCAATTGTCAAGTGGTGTGGTAGCATCGACAAGGTAAGGCTGCGTAGTGGGCAAAATGTTGATGATGTGATTGATGAGGCCCACAAGATCCATAAGAACTCATATGGGAAGTTCTAGTTCTATAAAGAGTGGCTCCAACTTAAGAAGTGGGATATATATCGTTCTATTCTTAAGCAAAAAGTTCATGTGTCAGGACGTGGTCGTCCATCAAAGAAGCCTGCGACGGTTAATACCCCGGAGAGCGGTAGCAGCGAAAAGAGATCAAGGGATGAAAATGGTGGACAAACACCAAATACACCAACAAGTGGAGACTTTTTTACTGATGAGTTTGTACCACGTCCTGATGGTTTGAAGAAGGCTAAGTTGAGGTTGAAGGGTAAGGAAGTAACAACTCAAGCACTTGATACTTTCGAATCATTTGGTGACAAACTTAAACTATACGGTGAGATGAGGGATAAGACTGTTGATAGAGATTTAGAAAGGCTCAAGTTGGAGAAGAAGAAAGAAGCTAGAAAACAAAAGCAAATTGAGCTGGAGGAGAGAAACATTTAGATGCAACAATATAAAATGAATTGGGACATGATCTAATAATTGCTTGCCAAAGAAGTTCGTGCCCTGTGGGAAGATCAGATGATCATCGAACTCCAAGAATACCTCAGCAAATTTAGGGCATTTTAATGTTATGTTATGGAATAGGTTGCATTGTGCTAGTGATGTTTTAAGTTGTTTTCCCTTCAATGTATTCAGTTTCAAGTTAGGTTAGTTGTGTTATGTTTAGTTTATGTGTTTGTCCTTCAAAATGGTATTGTATGTGTAATGAATAGTATTGCAACCATGTAATAAAATTTTAAATATTTTGTCGTTTTATGTGTGAAACTTTGTTCACGTGATTTGTTAAGTCAATTTCAATAAGTACTTTTCAGAATCCAATTGATTTGACGACTCTATTTGAATAATTTTCTAGAGTCTATTAATACTTTTCAGAGTCAAAGTAAATACTTTTCAGAATCCATTTATTACATGCAATGGTCTTACATGTGATGACTTTTCAGAATTCATTGAGTTGTCAAATCTACATAAAGTTTTATTTAATTTTCATGTGATGCACTTGTGCATTCATATCATTGATTATTTTTATATAAGATCCAAACTACGCCTGCGAAAGTGCAACCTTTCTTCATCAAAACCCTAATTTAATTATGAAACTAACAACTTTTACTCTTTCATATAACATAAGAAGAAAATGGATTCCTACAAAATTAATATAAGCTCCACTGATAACTCAGATTAGGATAGAAGGGAAGCATTAGCTCGAGAAGAGAGGGAAATAGATGACATGATTGACACAGTCACCTCCACTTACCTCCCAATCCTAGACTCGACGACAACACCTCCACCACGGCGCTCACATAGACGACGTGAAGAAGGTCATCTGCGGTTGTACAATGATTACTTTTCAGAAGTTCCAGTCTACCCAACTGACCTTTTCCGACGTAGATTCCGAATGCACAAGCATGTCTATGAACGTGTTATGTATGCAGTAACAAAAAATGATACATGGTTCCAACAAAAAAGAGATGCTACTGGCCGTCTAGGCTTGTCTCCACTACAAAAGTGCACTGCAGCAATTCGGCAACTGTCTTATGGTTTAGCCGCCGACGCTTGTGATGAGTACATAAGAATAAGCGAAAGTACTGCGAAGTTGGCATTAGAAAAGTTTACCGAAGGTGTCATCAACCAATTCGGTGATCAGTACTTGAGACGCCCAAATGGTCATGATATGGAAAGGCTGCTACGAATAGGAGGGGAGCGTGGATTTCTAGGCATGAGCGGAAGCATTGATTGTATGCACTGGGAGTGGAAAAATTTTCCGACGGCATGGAAAGGATAATATCAAGACATAAAAATAGTAGCCACTCTTATATTAGAGGCTGTTACTGATCGAGACTTGTGGATTTGGCATTTTTTCTTTGGGATGACGAGTTCTTACAATGTCTTAAATGTGTTACACCGATCTCCTGTATTTTAGGATGTGTTGGAGGGGCGTACACCTCATGTGAGCTTTTTTGTTAATGGTCATCAATACAACAAGGGATATTATCTTACTGACAGTATTTATCCCAAGTGGGATACTTTTGTGAAGTCTATCACTAGTCCACAGACTTAGAAACATAAATTGTTTGCACAACATTAAGAAGCAGCGAGGAAAGATGTTAAGCGAGCTTTTGGAGTTCTAAAATCTCGATTCTCTATAATTAGAAAACCATCTCTTGCTTGGGATGTTCAAATACTTCACAAAATTATGTTATCGTGCATCATTGAAGATGAACGAGATACATATTTGAACAACTCTGACACGTTTCACTTCATTGACAACCAAAGTGGTTCTAACGAGGAAGCCTTCGAGTATTGTAATGAGCGTGTAGTAGACATCAATATATATTTGCAATGAAGAACAGAGATTGAAGATCAACCCTTGCATTTAAAACACGATTTGTTTGAACACATTTGGAAGAAATTTGGGTGTAACGAGAACAGTAACAATTAGATTTCAATTATGTTGTTAAGTATGTGTTATGTCTAATGCACTATGGTTGTTTTTTTTTTTCACAAATTTTCTATTAATAAAAAATTTGTATTTTGTATCTTTTAATTAACAAAGTAATTAATAACACTAATTATGCTAATCGCAGACAATTAACAACGCTAATTACGATAATTTTAGCTAATTTTGCTTGCAAATAATGCTAATTGTAATTTCATAATACTAAAACGTAACTAATTACGATAATAACAATAAACTACATATTAAATGAGATTAATATATTGTTAATTATGTATGTATTTTAATTTTTAGTAAAAAGATAAATTGAGGTGGGGTAGGTGAATAGTAACATGAACAATTGTTCATTGGTTCATGGTTAAGAGGAGGATATTGTAAATTATGTGAACTGCTATTCGTCGCTCCCATTTTACATAGTAACGCTCCCATTTTGACTTGAATGGACAAATATGCCCTTTATGAAATTTGTGGACTTTGTTCCCCATATGGACACATTTTATCAAACGGTCCCCTCATATTACGACGTTACTATCCCGAGTCCACTAAATCGGTCCCCACAACCTTAAAACCAAATCGGTCCCCACGACCACCTTAATTCCTTTTTTTAAAAAAAAATTAATCATAAAATTTTTCCGACGGGTCTTGGGTCATGGACGACGAGTGGAACATTCGTACGCCGGAGAATGCGTCGGAACATTCTGTAAGTTTTTTGTTTTTTTTCCTGGAAATAGGACATCCACCTAAAAAATCCGAATGTCCCATGGTAGATCCGCCTAAAATTTCCGGATCTAGCATGGAACATTCGGAAATTTCAAGCGGAAGTAGGGATCCGCCTGAAACTTTCGGATGTTGGAAATTTTAGGCGGATCCACCATGGGGCATCCGAAATTTTTAGGCGGATGTCCCTTTTCCAGTTTTATTTATTTTTTATTTTTTAATTTTATTTTTATTTTATGTTAATTAAGTTTATTTTTGTTTAATGTTAATTAAGTTTTTTTTTTTTCGTGCGCTTGTGATTGTTGTAGTGATTAAGTTTTTGATAATAAATGTAATTATTATTGTTTTATATTAATATGATTATTAGTAATATGATTATTTTTTGTAACATTATTATTATTATTATTGTTATTAATAATAATAATAATATTATTATTGTTGTTATTATTATTATTGTTATTGTTGTTGTTGTTATTCTTATTATTAATTATTAGAAATATAATTTTATAAATATTATTATTATTATTATTATATTAATTAGTAATTAATGTTAGGGTATTATTGTTCTGTATTTTTTGTTATAATTATTATTATTATTTATTATTATTATTATTATTATTATTATTATTATTATTATTGTTATTGTTATTGTTTTGTATTTGTTGTTGTATTTGTTGTTGTATTTGTTGTTGTTGTTGTTATTATTATTATTATTATTATTATTATTATTATTATTATTATTATTTTTATTATTATTTTATTATTATTATTATTATTACTATTTTTACTATTATTACTATTATTATTATTATTATTATTATTATTATTGTTTTGTATTTGTTGTTATTATTGTTTATTGTTATTATTATTATTATTATTATTATTGTTGTTGTTGTTGTTGTTGTTGTAGTTGTTGTTGTTGTTGTTGTTTATCTATTAATTATGTGCAATAGATCCGTGTGACATTAGTCAATGCAGGTATTTGAACTTGCTTCCCGGCCCAATGTTGCCGTACATTTCGTCTTCGTCTTGGAAGGATGTCATTGGTGATGGGAACTGTGGCTTTCGTTGTGTCGCCGACTTCTTCTATGGCGATCAGGTGTTGTGGTTTGACGCTCGGGAAACAGTAGCGAACGAGATCGCCGTTCATCCTGATTTGTATGAACGGATTTACGGGCGTGGACGACTTTGGATGAACGTAGAGCGTATTCGATGAGAAAGTGGGGCTGTCGGGGAGCGACATTGGATGGTTACAATTCAAGATTTATTTCCTATTCTACATGGTTCAACACAAGGGTGATTTGTCTCGGGGTAGGCATAGTACCAACTTGCTACTACCCATGCATCACATTCTTACCGTTGAGTGCACGCAACGGGGTTCGGATACCGAGTCGAGAGTTCGTGATTGCTGCAGTTGGTGGATCACATTTCATCCATCTTGACCTTGTACCTGATTCACCTCTCCCGCCGATCGCCGGTTGGTGGACTGAACACCATGAGGCTAGTGTTAATGGATGGGTCAACAACATGAATTTAGAAGGAACATGTGGGGTGCATTAGTTAGGTAGTTTGTAATGTACATTCATTGACTTTGAACATTTGTAAGAATAGTAGAATTATTAATATAATTTTTAATGTGCTTGCTTTTAATTTAGTTAAATTCTAACATGACGTGCAACAAAAATAAATCAGTGTCTAGTTTTTACATTACATGAAAAATATATATATATAAAAATAAATCAGTTCAAACAAGTAATTAAAACCACTAACACGACTTCCAATCAAAATAAGCTAAAGCCCCATTTTTTACTTCCAATTGAATACAAGCTGCTCAGTCATTGTCTGAGTCTCACTCGACATGTGAGGATACTCAGCCAGTGCTCTATGGTGAATCTCCATGGACCGACCCATCCAATGCAAATCAAACAATAACATATTATATACACAACAATTAGTAGAAGTCATTCTTAATATTATAATAAGCATAGAGACTTACTTAATCAGTGTTAGTCCGCTCAGGCAGGTTGCTTGTAACTCCTGCACCTGAGGATACCCGCATGTGAGAAAACCTGTACAGCCACTACATGTAACCAGGCGCAACCGAAGGAGCTGCAGCACTAAACCTGGTGAGGACACCTAAAACTACACTATGAGATACCCCAGGGACAAACCTCTTCCACATCACATATGTCATCTCGGTCGGGAAGTCTACCCGGTACATCTTCAAGTTAGTCGGCCTCTTGGCCTTCTCTGGCTTGATGATCTCACGAGG